TTTACAACAGAGGAGGAATAGAACAAACAGCATCCATGCTAGATGGTGTATTTGCTTTCATCCTTCTGGACACTGCAAACAGAAAAGTGTTTCTGGCGAGAGATACCTATGGAGTCAGACCACTGTTTAAGGTGCTGACTGATGATGGATTTTTGGGTGTCTGTTCTGAGGCAAAAGGTAATACCAATTGTGTTTAGTGCCTAAATAATCTTAAGTGTTGTTGTCAGAGACAAACCACTTTGTCAGGCTTTTCTTCTAAGTGTGAAAGAAGGAGAATTGTAAGTATGGTAATAAATGAAGTGTATTTAGTAGTATAAGAACTACACATCATTAAAACAAAAGCCACAGAGAGTAAACGTCTAAGATGTTTAATTGTCCTTGATATCTCTAAAATAACTTCCTTATTTAATTTTAGAATTCTTTCTGTTCTGGAATCATAGCAGCATTGAGCCCAAGATGTTTTATGTTACCCCAAAGTTAAATGTAGTCTATAGAGTTAGGCTAGATTTATGCTACAATAAATTATATTAGATTTGTTCCTGGAGTTCTATGGTGAACTGGGAAGTAATGCCACAGGAACTGCTAATCTGTAAAAGCCAAGAATTTTAAAACCTTACTGAAATTTCCTGCAGCATTTTCTACTGACACTTATTTTATTTGATGGCAATTTTTTTCCTTTGAGATGACACATCCAATACTTTTTTTTTTTAAAGTAATTATCTCTAGCCTTGACACTTGTAGAAACAAACCCAAACAGTGCCAAAAGGGAGCTTATTGCCTAAAATGCATTGTCTAAAATTGATTTTCATGATTACTTGTGTCTCTCCCATTTACTGTGTATCAATTTTATTATCAGACTCCAATGTAGATTGACTCCTGTAATAGTAGTACTGAGTAGTACCAGAGCTGTACCAGCTCTGCTCCTTGGGAAGGAAGAAGGGAAGTGAATATTTTAGGGACTATGTCCCATAAGTGTCACAGTGGATTACTGGTCCCTCTACCAGCAATTCAGGATCTCTTTTGTGGAGTTCCTCAAGTGGCATTCAGGTGACCAGCAAGTGCAAAACGTCCTCTTTCTCAAGAGGAATGGAAATGAGGTTTGGCTACAGGTCTGATTCTTGGTGTTCATGACCAGCAATGTAGATCAGTCTGGAACTGATGAGTTATGAAATCACTAAATCAATGTCAATTAAGCAATCACTTCAGTGATGTAGTTTTATTGCAAACCCTTTGTTAGCTTAACTACACTTAATTTTAAACACAAAATCATTTATTAACTGTCATTTGAATTCTCATAAGCATATTACACCTTGACCTGGGCATCATGTAGTCCATTAGAAAAATGTTTTTCTTAATGCTCATAGGAATAAATTGTTACTTACCAATTAGTAGTACTTGCTGGCTTCCTTTCTCTGCTGTCTGCCTCAACTAGAGATGGCTCAGATCTATGTGTGCAACCTGCCAGTAGCAGAATCCAAGGCAGACTCGGACTCAAAATTATATTTTTTTAATACCAAATTTAGGATCTGGATAAAATATTTTTATATGGTTTTAGTACAGAGGCTGTTGAGTGAGGTATAACTTAACCATCCTAGGTTAAAAGCTCTGACTTTTTTTTTTTTTTTTTTTTTTTCTCTCCATTTTACCTGTAGGACTTATCAACTTAAAGCATTCAACATCCTTATGTCCTAAAGTGGAGCCATTTCTCCCGGGTCATTATGAAGTGTTGGATTTAAAGCCCTCTGGCAAAGTTGCATCAGTGGAATTAGTAAAATTTCATAGCTATAAAGATGAACCACTCCATGCTACGTGTGATACAGTAGAAACTTTGCCTTCAGGTAGTACAACAAAGTATTTGATACTTAAGTGAAATAATTACAATCTTTGAATATAAAATTTGTATTGGTTGGTTTAAAAAAGTGCCATTTTAAGGAAGAACCTTTGTCATGTAGGAACTTGAGAATTGTTTTTGTAGCAAGTCATGTACAAATATATTTGAACTTGCATGCGCTCTTTATCAAAGGAAATTCAGAAAAATATTTTCCTAGTTGCATAATCCAGCAAAGTCTAAGTAACACTTCTTGGTTTGGGTTTTTTTTCCTCTTATTTTGTGGACAGGCTTTGATCTTGAAACAGTGAAAAGCAACATCCGTATTCTGTTTGAAAATGCTGTTAGAAAACGTTTGATGGCTCACAGAAGGATTGGCTGTCTTTTGTCAGGTAAGAAGCAAGAATTTTTGTGTCTTTTCTCTCTTTTGCCCATAATCTACCAGTGAGAGGAAAGTATGCTAGCTGTTCTGCTGTGATGTACCTGAAGTGATCTGAGAGAACTTGTTAGTTTGTGATAAAGTTTTCCAGTTCACAAGTATCTTGAAAGTCTTACGCTTTTAAAGCTTACTCTGGGATGGGATGTTGGCTTGTTGAGACACTGACCATTTTTAACTAAGAAGAAAGAAATACAATGCTCTTACTGAAAAATCACTCAATATACTCTTAAACATGAAAGATTTATGCTTAGGTTGGTATATAAAAAGAAAATTTGATTATTACATTTACTTTGCACTGAGTGAACATAGAAAAAGACCTTGGCATGCTCAGCTTGCAGGAGGAACTGAAGTTCTTACTTGTCACCTTCTTTGCTTAGCCTCCATTGTAGACTGCCCTTGATTTACCAAATTACAGGGGAGCATCTAGACCAAAATTATTTGCTACATTCTTTTTTTCAGGTAAGGTAATAGCTTGTGGTACAGGAAGTTGTTCACTGAATTGGCTGATCAGTGTTGTGATCTGGTGGTTACCAGATCAGTGTACAGAGGTGCTTTACAGAAGTAAGGCTTTGTAGTTATAGGACTGACACCATATTTACTGTGTTTTTGTAGCACTTTTTACTTGTGGTTAGAGTTCTGATATGCTGTTCATGCATGCATTGAACATCAGTAATTACACTCATTTATCACGAACCTTATTAAATGTGCATTTGAATGAGGGAGAACTGACTAGGAGATACCGTTGGACCATTTCCTTACTGTGGCATCATAAAAAGTAGGAGGGAGGTAAATGAAACAGGGACATATACAGAGTTGGAAGATCCCAGTTCCAGTAACAAGCCTGTTCAAACCCCAGATTTCAGATATCAAATTAGAAGGCAGTCCGCAGCTCCTCAGATGCACAGGCAGAATGTATTAGTAGCAAAACTAAGTGCCTGTGCTGGTATAATACCAGAGGATCTCAGTGCTTCACAATTTTTCATATGCTTGGAACATTCTCCAACATGTTGGAGAAGTGCTTTTGTTTCCAATCACAGAGGGAGTTCTGCAGCTTCACAGTGGAAACTCAGGTTTTGATTTCCCAGATTTCTGCATCCCAAGCACTCAGTTTGATTTCTGTGCTCTCCTTTTTTCAGACTCTGCATGTGATTTCTACAGAAGGAGATTTTTTTTTTTTTTTTACGAGGTAGCATGCCCGCAAAGGGGATCAGGGTGGGAATGGGTGCTAATGCACTCAGCTAAAAAAACATATGCGGACTGTAGGAAACAGAGAAAGAGGATTTTGCCTCGTGCTTGTCAGAACGGCAGGTAGGTGTGGGAGAACAGGTACTGTGTTTTGCTCAGTACTTCAAAAGGGAGCAGCAAGTAGAACTAGTCAAGGATCAGCAGAACTCGCTCACAAGAAGGTGGAGTCTTAGAGTACATCTGGGCACCTTGTGCATCTCTTGGGTTTATTTTTTGTTGATTTTCCACACTGTTCAAATCCTTCCTTCTGGCCTCCTCTGAGAAAGAAGAGGAGGAAGAAAACCCAATGTCAGTAGTAAACCTTTTCACTTTGAAGTGATGTTTAAAAGATTAATTCCACTCAAAATGTGTGAAACACACTTTGGAAAAATGATTGAGGAGGAGTGGAGTCCCTAACTAAGGGTTCCACTAAACAGAACTAAATGTTCTGTTCTTTTACTTAATTCTTTTTTATTCAAACAGCAAACTAAAAAAAAAAATAAATTACATAGTTCTGTTAATAGAGTATCAGATGCATAGATAAGAAGAGGATAGAGAGCAGTTTTGAAATGGAGAATAAATACCATTTTAGCAGAGTTGAGAAGGGGCATGTTCCGTAGTGGTACAGTGTTTTCAGAATACTTTCTGTGTCTCTTAAAGAAGGATTTCCACTGATGCTTCTGACACCAAAAATACTAACAACTGTTACTGAAGATGTTCCACTAAAATTGCCTGATTCTCTTGTTAAGCAGGGGTAAATGTGCATTTGTACAGAAATACCCTGGATTCACACAGCTTAAAAATGAAGACCACTCATGAGATTCCACTGTCTAGATTCAGTGTCCTTAAGGGGAAACAAAAAAAACAGTCAAACACCTAACCAAATAATTTGCTTTGTTGGCAGGGGGCTTAGATTCCAGCTTGGTTGCAGCTGTTCTTCTGAAACTGATGAAAGAAATCAACATCAATTATCCATTACAAACCTTTGCAATCGGAATGGAAAACAGTCCTGACTTACTGGCTGCCAGAAAGGTATAGTAAGCATTGCTTTCAGTTTGTTCTGAGCTGCTGAATGCTAAACAATGTGTGTTAATGATGCTAACTGCATGGTACAGTATTAATAGTAATAGTAAATATTCATGTATTGCTATGATGTAAATCAGTTTGCAGTAAATCATTTACTACAACATTTGCTGCTTAGTTAAATCTTAGGAAAGAGATAATTGAGCCTTACCTGTTTTCTCTTGCATTTGGAAGACTTTCATGACAGACTCCCATTGCATTTTTACCAAAAGGATGGTACTTCAGAGTTGTCTCAATTCTGCCTCTGAGTTTTAGGGTAAATCTACATGCTGTGGTTCCTGTGGTATGGCATTTGCATATATGTTAAATATTGTAAGATAATCTTCAGTTTACTGAATTAAGAGCCTTGTACAAACTGTTTGGCATCTGGGGTACCCTTTAGGTGTCCAGGCTGTTGTGGCTGTCGTGCTTTTTCTCTTCAGGGCAAATATCTGGAGTATTTAGAGGCTTTACAGATTCTATTATGCTTTGGGCAAGCAGCTGGATGATCTGTTGCAATCATGATTGGGCACTGTAATGAGGGACACTGTGTTCCCTCTGGCGAATATACCACTGCAAGTCAGAGCGGCTGCTATAGTATCGTCTTTTCTTGGCCTAATGTCATATAGTTCTCACTGTGGCAGAAGGGAGCTGGTGCTTCCACTCAGTGTCTATTTTAAACACCATGTATGTTTAAAAAATGTTTTAATTGAAAAATGACACATTATTGTGGCTTTTTACAAACAGGTCGCAGCACATATAGGCAGTGAACACCATGAAGTAATATTCAATTCTGAAGAAGGAATTCAGGCAATAGAGGAGGTTATTTTCTCCTTGGAAACCTATGATATAACAACAATAAGAGCTTCAATTGGTAAGATTTTTTTAATAGCAGTATTTTCTTTATCTTGCCAAATAAAATTCTATGCAAAATCATGTAGTCATCTACTAGATCCTTTACTTGTCGCAGGACCTGGGAACTGGGACTCCCAAGTTCTGCTCCCTAGTCTTATCTGTGATACCACACTGAGGCAAAACCATTTATTCATTTTAAAGTTACTGACTGTACAAAATGATTGTCAAGACCTGTTCCTGAAGCTTTGGGATGAAAACCAAAAGTTACATGAAGAAGAAATGTTAGGTCTAGGTCTAGATTTTCTGCTCTAACAAGTATGAACCTTGGGGCACGGGGGAAAATTTACAGGTTATCTGAGGTACTGAATGTTACGGTAGCAAAACAGTTATGATTACCCTATTCCTTGCATAATTTTAATACTAAAGTGAAGTATTTCTTGTCACCATCTAGTAACACATGTGCGTTCAAGCCAGGTAGACTTCTTATAACGTATGTTTGATTCTGAGAAATGAAGGAAGTCACCAGCAGCTTCTTACAAAGGGTTTCCAACCTGATAAGAATGAAAAACTGTTATCAAATGTGACCATCTGTGTAATGCCAGCTACAACGTTTTACCCAGTTAATCTTGTGTCAGCCTGAAACATTGTAAAAAAGTTAATAAGCCAAATAGACAACACAGTTTTGAACTTTCAGGTCCCTGAGTGGAATTTGGTACATGAAGATAGGACTTTGCAATACTTTGAAATACTGAAAGTGTTTCTTTAAAAAAATAAAGCCAACTTTTTATCTGTCATCTTTCTTTGTGATTGCTGATTAGTATGAGAAATAATAAGCTAGATTCTTTTCATTAGATCTCTTTTGTTATAAAAGCATATTGTTTGGAAAGATGTAATGAGGGGAGGGCATAATTCTGGGTTTTGTTAAATAATTATTTATTAAGCAGAATAAAGGGCTTCATGCAGTTCAGCCCACAGTGGCAGAGAGTTAAGCAGCAACTTTTGCTGGTAGTTTTGTTCTCCAAAGCTAGAAGGTTTGTTCAGGACAGTGCTGGAATTAATCATGTGCTTAATTTCAAACTTAGAGCAACTCCTGTATGTGTTCCCACGGGAATGCTCCAGCATTCCCAGGATCACACACACACACACACATCTTTCTGATATTTTGAGGGCTACATATGAGTACACAGTTTAGATGTATTTGCAGCACTTAGTTTGTGTGGCTGTTGATGGCTTTGAATAACAATGAGATGTTATTTTAGTGTGTTGCAGTTGTTTGCTACAGAAGAAAACGGTGTAGGAGAGAACTTCTATAATGCTAAATTTAAAACTGTACTAGCTGTATATAGCACCATACTTGTAGCCATATTTTAATAACTATAATTTTTTTTAAGGTATGTATCTTGTCTCCAAATATATACGGAAGAAAACAGACAGCGTGGTCATTTTTTCAGGAGAAGGATCAGATGAGCTGACACAAGGATATATATATTTCCATAAGGTAAACATATTCACTGTATAGAAAACCCTTGAGCTGCTTGTTCTCTCTTTCAACAGCAAATCTCTACTGAGATTTCAAGGTGTGAAGTTGGAGAATTGCCACAGGTGTATATTTGCTGAGAATTTCTCCTAAGGTGCATAAAATCCAAGGGATTCAATTTAATCACTTGAAAAATAACTTTTTTTTAAACGTCAAAATTCCCGAGAATATTATTTCTTGTATGTGGTCTTTGCTAGTTCTGAGATCACTCAGCGGTCGTTACAACTCAAACACCAGACAGCAAGTAGTGGTTCCCTCAGTGCAGCTGTGTTATGTCTGTGTGCTACATGCATATGTCTGGTTACAGGCGCCATCTCCTGAAGAAGCTGCAGAAGAGAGCGAGAGGCTTCTGAAGGAGCTGTACCTGTTTGATGTACTTCGTGCGGACAGAACTACTGCAGCGCACGGGTAAACCATAGTCTCTTGGATGCTGAGGACTTGTGTGATTTAGCAGATGTTCAAGTGGTGCTTCCCAGGGCTCAGTATTGAGGCCAGTTCTGTTTAATATCTTTATCAATGATCTGGACGAGGGGATTGAGTGCACTCTCAATAAGTTTGCAGATGACACCAAGCTGGGTGGGAGTGTTGATCTGCTTGAGGGTAGGAAGGCTCTGCAGAGGGATCTGGACAGGCTGGATCGATGGGCTGGAGCCAACTGTATGAGGTTCAACAAGGCTCAGTGCCAGGTCCTGCACTTGGGTCACAACAACCTCATGCAACACCCCAGGCTTGGGGAAGGGTGGCTGGAAAGCTACCCAGCAGAAAAGGACCGGGGGGTGTTGATCAACAGCTGGCTGAATATGAGCCAGCAGTGTGCCCACATGGCCAAGAAGGCCAACAGCATCCTGGCTTGTATCAGAAATAGTGTGGCCAGCAGGAGTAGGGAAGTGATCGTCGCCCTGTACGCGGCACTGGTGAGGCCGCACCTGGAGTACTGTGTTCAGTTTTGGGCCCCTTGCTACAAGAAAGATATTGAGGTGCTGGAGCATGTCCAAAGAAGGGCAACAAAGCTGGTGAAGGGTCTAGAGCACAAGTCCTGTGAGGAGCGGCTGAGGGAACTGGGGTTGTTTAGCCTGGAGAAAAGGAGGCTGAGAGGAGACCTTATCGCTTTCTATAACTATTTGAAAGGAGGTTGTAGCCAGGTGTCTGTCAGTCTCTTCTACCTAGTAACAAACGATAGGACAAGAGGAAATGGCCTCAAGTTGCGCCAGGGGAGGTTTAGATTGAATATTAGGAAAAAGTTTCTTCACCAAAAGGGCTGTCAACCATTGGAACAGGCTGCCCTGGGAAGTGGTTGAGTCAGCGTCCCTGGAGGTATTTAAAAGAGGCATAGATGTGGCACTCGGGGACATAGTTTAGTGGTGGACTTGGCAGTGTTGGGTTTATGGTTGGACTTGAAGATCTCAAAGGTCTTTTCCAACCTAAATGATTCTATGATTTTAAAATTGGAAGTTGTAGGCTGAAGGAATTTGAGCAACACTGCAAAATTTAATCTGGTTTTCTGTGATTGCAGAGCCCACTGTGTTGCCAACTAATGCAGGAAATATCTTTTGTCTGGGGTTGTACTGGTGTTTATAGAAGCAGTGGATTAGAAATACAAATATGCAGAGTTATGGAAGGCAGGCAAAGTTGTATTTGAGTGTGGGTTTTTTTGAGGTTTAGACAAAGAGGAATTTTGAATCTGATAATCATCATGCATATGAAGAATAAAAACATACTGAAAGAGAAAAGTATGTGCATTGACTCGGATAGCTGACTGTAATAAAGAGATGTTAGGATACAGTCTGTGACTGGTACCTTAAAGAACCACCAAATTGTACACTGCAGAAAATAGCATTGTTTTACTAAAGGAACACATGAATTAAAAGGAGAATATTGTTGGGAAGCTGGCTATAGATGAGAAAAAGATGATACCTTTGGCAAAGCAACTTACTGATCAGGAAACTTGCATTGTATATTGATCCTGCCACAGAATTACTTGCCCAGGTTTTTACAACCTTCTTATGTCTCTCTTTCCTGTATAAAAGATGAGCAGGGTGCAGGAGACCTGCCATTTGCCTCATAATTTGTTTTGTGTGGAAAGGTTTGGCCACATATTCAAGGCTGTTTAATGTCACACTGTCCGCACTTTGGAGACTTGCCATTTCTTGAAAAGAAGCTGGGGTCAGCTTCACAGCATTCATAGGAAGAAAGAACCATTGTATGGAGAGGAATTAAGAGTAGAGAGGAAATGATGGGAGAAAGGATGAAAGTACTTAGAAAAAAAATAACTGTAGGGAA